GAAGCGCTTTATTTAACATTAATAATTCGAGGCGAGAAAGCACTATAAATAAATACCTCTAGCATTTATTGAAAAAAACCTATAAAGTTAGTATGTAAATTTCATGATCAATTGTAATTTTGCAATAATTAAACATAATAATTAAACATAATAATAATTAAACATGCGTGTTCTGGTATACTTACGCAACAACAATCGGTATAGGGAAAGATGAGAGACAGAAATCAGTCAAACAGAGGAAATATAAATTTTAGAATTAGAAGAATAGAAGATTAAATGCAAGCTTGTTAGTCGAGAGTTTCGATATTTTGGCCTAGTTTAAAATTGAAATAGAAAGGACAAGTGACAAATCGGCACAGCAGTGAGCTGCCTTTTTCCTATTTCGGATTGTTATTTGTCGACATTGGATGCAGGATAGGCCTCATATGGCCCCATATGCTGCAGCTCTGGCCTAATAGCTAAAACACCTTCGACAGCTTTTTAGAATTCCTTTCTCTGCTCTTGTGGTTTAATTTTTTTCTACTTTCTAGCATTGAAATACAACGTATTTTTCGTATGTATATTTACTAACTCTGGACTATTAACTGGGACTGACCGGGTCTGTAGATTTCATTTTTCACAGCTGCTAAAACATTGTTTTTTCCTAAATAAGCTATGCTAGTTACCACGGTTGCCACTTGGCCCCTTAGCTGAGAAGTTTTGGGGTACTCTTCCAAATGCTATACTTCGAATTGTTGACAGAACAATGATCATTTTGTGATTAGCAATCCGTCGACAATTGGTCTGTATTTCCACCAGTCTCCTTTAAATAGCCTCACCTAAAGCCTCTGTAAATATTAGCTATATGCACATCGTCTCAATCAACGACAGTTATTTTATCGATGCGGTAGAGTCCGTGCGGCACAGCTAGTGGCTCCCTTTACCCCAAGACCTACGATACATTCTACATACAATATATGAAAACCGAGAAAATATTGAGTAGGCCGAATCGTGACTCGACGCCGTTGTCGGGCCAGTGGTTATCACAGATGTGCATGTAAAGACTGCAAGTCATCAACGGAACGATCTCGCACACGTAAAAAAAATTGTAAAAAATCGTTGTCGTCGTATATCATTAAACGGAATGGCAAGCACATGATCGCTCTACTCCGCCAGAACGTATCAGACAAAGGGCAGTGCCCGGCATTAGACCATGCAATCTCTTAGATTATCGAGATTCGTGTCCCTTTCTGGAGTCATGATAGTAGATACAGCCATGCCAAAATGAACCAGGGAGCCCCTTCGCTACGAGCCTGCCAAGGAAGCATTGTTGCTGTTGAAAAATTGTAGATGGTCTCAGTAGAATAGCGATTTCGCTTGCTCGATGCTAGAAGAAGAATCCGAAAGAAGAGAGAACCTATATAGGGGCCACCCAATGGAAACTACATATCGCTAGGGAGCGGGCGAGTGTAGTTTTGGCCTGTTCATCTTCTGGAAGATTCTTGTCGACCGTTTATAGTAGTATCGCTGGCGCGTAACTGTCGTGACGGAATACCTCAAAGGACAAGTACGACCGTACAAGAACGTGCTGTGCTGTGTCGGAGGCCGGAAGACAGGAAAAAGAAAGGACCTGTATTGAAAAAAAAAAAGGTACGTTTCAAAGATATTTGGCAAAGCGTATACACCACCTTTTTTCCGTACATAGGTTCATTTTACCTTGCCAGCTGTGTTCGCGCATTCGAGTGGTAGTTTATTAAACGAACAAACGGTAATACTATTATCCATTAAGGGTAGTGGTTACCACGTTCACTAAACATGAATGAACGATGACGTTCGCTAAATAAAGAAGACTGATCAAACTGACTGGCTGTGATATCAATGTAAGAGGTAAATCAGTTGAATAATGTGACTTGAAGCCAAAAGAAGGAAAAATTTCTACGGCCTAACTGTTTACTATCGCCATTGGAGATAGGAACTCTATTTTTACATGTAATATATATATAGTTCAGGTTTAATAGAAATTAGTTTCAACCTTAAGTCACGGAGCAGGACATATTTAGTAAACTGACAGAATTTTCGGGGGAAGGAAATGTTTTACTAAGTAAAACATCATTACGCTTTTATTCGATATGCTCTTTGAATAGGATTAGCCTACATCAAATAGTTTGAAACCTACGTTCAGTCAAGGCTCTCTGCTTGTAATAGGACATACATTACTATGTATAAGTAATGGGACAGCGAAACGCCCAACTGGTCCCAAAACGCCCAAAGACGAACGAGCATTCATCTTATTAATGTGCGTGGCCAATCCTTACTGAGACATTGTAATTCGCTTACTGTCGTTGAAGGATAAATAAAAGATGGCTTCCAGCAGAGATGATCACTAAACCTAAACTTAGTGTCATAACATTTACCCTTCGACCTCGTTGGCAGTTAAGAATATAGATAAAATCACGGATATGAGTGACTATTATTATAGGGATACGCTGTACAAGGATAAAAATATAGTATACAATGCTATGTTTTTGCTATTTGTTTCGCTATGAAATTCTCGAACGGATGCGACTTGACGTAAATTAGGGTCTATGTGATCTCTTCCTACGGAAATCAAGGACAAGTCACAGATGAAGATGGAAAGTCATCGATCAAGTACTTGGCTGCGTTTGTCGGTGCCTTTAAATATTATGACAGTTAGCATGCATCTGTCGATGCTATGCTGATAATGCGTGTATTAATGTTGGCAGTATTGGAAACTAAGCAATTAGGTTATCTATCTAAGGCCACGTTCTGTCTCTTAAGGCCTTTGTATTTTTCGAAATAAAATTATTCGTTTCCATATCCGCTGCCTGCCCTTGGAGCGTGGTTCGTGTTGCTGTCGTCGATGTTCCATGTAGTCGGTTGTACATATTTGCTTTAAAGGTCTCTGAAAAAATAGGCACGTCATCCCCTTCCTATTTCGTAGTGGGCCGCGTTTGCTTAATGTAGTTGAGCATAATTTAATGCACTGGGTGTTCCTAGGTCTATATGAATGGCGTCCTGCTCACTTATTGAGTGAAAGTTGGCCACAGACGAAAGTACCGTACAGCAGTGAAAGCCGCCCATGAACGTTATTCGTTTACCGTCGATGTGGTGACAGGTCGCGACTATGTGGACGTCCTGGAATCCTAACCCGCCTGCCAGGACTCGGCCGCCAAGACCGAGCGCGATCGTAATGTGCTCGTTTACCATGAACACGTTTTCCCTGATGTCCTGTAAGTAATAAACAGGGGTCAGAAAGCCAACTAGTGTACAGTGAGCGCATACTTGCTAGCTACGGAGTGCTGGCATCAAGATCATTTACAAAAATCCTTTCTGATTCCCAGTCCGTATACGATTGCGCGGAATATTTGACATATCGCGAGTTCCTATCCTATTCGATGGAGCGTATGTGTGAAACTCTCAAAAGCCACCGTCATTCCGCTATGTAATCTTTAGTGTTTAAGTTCTGGATTGGTCGTTAGGGCTTTTCGTAAATCCACCTCGCCTCCGTCTCGTGTTTTTATCGATGTGCATTTTCCATGTAATTGAGGTTTTTATGCGTCGTCTCTCGAAATATACGGATAAAAATGCCGTATCCGACAAATTCTACTATGATGTCCTAACCTACTCAGGGTGTGAGGCAGGCAAAAGTTCTATGAACATAAACGTATGTATAATGCATGGTCGGGTAAAGTCTTGATTCCGGCTCACTGGTATTAAAGGTCTTTTAAAACTGCTTGCCAGTTTCATAGTGTGCGGTTCGTGCTGGCTTGTAAAAATGCGGAAATATTATTAAACCTCGTAAACATCCGTTTTTATGAAGCTATTTTTGCCTCAGGTTGGAAAAACAAAGGGAATTAGCTGTTGTATACAACATCTATATAAAAAAAAATCGTTTCTTGGCATCAACGTGCGATGTGCGAACCATACTCATCATTATTATTGCTATTATTGTTATTAAAGAAAGGTAATCTAATTCATAAAACATCCTTTCACTATATATATATATATATATATATATATATATTCTATGCTACACATTATCAGTTCTAATTAGTACTTCCTTGGCTGAATAGATTAGAAAATTTCTGCCTAAGGGGCAGCTCGTGTAATTAGCAATAACTGCCAATCCACACGAATCGCGGAAAGACAATACAAGCCGGCAAAAAAGGCAATATTATCCAGTTGCCAACGAGCTAAAGCACGTGCAGAATTCGAGGCAACATCGTACGTTTAAAAAGAGCACGTTACAAATGCGTAAAGTGTATGGTCTCACCTTGGCTGTTTTTCAACCCGTCACGTAACGTTTTTGTAACGATTTTAGTGTTTCACGTCCAATATTTGGGAGGCTATCACGGACACCTTAACATTGCAAAAGTAAGCTCGTTTTTATTTAGCTTTCCCGTTGGTGCGCTCATCTATTCTAAGACGTCGCTTTTCTCTAAAGCTCGATTGAAAATAATGGCAAATTATAAATGAATAAAAAATGAGCAAATCCTGACCTGCTTTATTGTTAAGATACATCCGGTCTAATTAACCCTGCATTTATAGACAAAACTAGCTAACTAAAATATATAATATATATATATACAAGCTACAGCTATTCCCTCGATTGAACAAATTTCATTAAGTCACTGCATTAACTTATAATTTAAAAGCGCGCCTGAATCAGCTTGATTGTTTGTTGCTGACTTCAATCTATCGTTGGAAAAATATAAATATATCTCTATTACTGGTTATTTTTTAATGATTTTAACATCGTCAGCACTTGGACTTAGTCTCACCGATCGATCTTGCTTACTTTAAATGCACGCCCTTAAGGGTCTTCCCTGCGTAAGATATGCCAAAATCGGGCTACTTTTAGCGTACGACCTCTCAGAGTTGAACTATTCATTGTTCGCAATGGCAGTTACAGCAGAGTGTTTCCTGCCCTCGTGCCACATCCAATAAACACATCAGTTGTTTACTCCTTGAATTTACGTTTGTTTTCTTGTTTATTTTAGCAAAAAAAAAAATAAGTTTCACAAAAACGGAACGGGCACGAGAAGACTGAGTGCAAAACTCTCGGAATAAAAGAGCTTGCGCATAGTTTGAAGATGTCGAAGTAACCCAGTCTTCTGCGTAACAGACTGCAATAGAATATGGCCAGCGTAAGAAGACTAACTTTATAGGTCATCAGCGCCCATGTTCACCAGCGATGAACTCAGCGTCGAAGCGAATTGTTGATTTGCACGAAAGCTGCTGCACGAAATTAGGAGAAGGAAGACGAGAGCCTTCGTCCTAAACGGCTTGAGGCAAAGGGCACGCTGTACGAGTCTCTCCCACGATTTAAGTCGACATCCACGTTCGGGCGTAATGCTCGATGTGGTCGTTTTGATTTTTCTGGCCTCTCTCCTTCTATACGCACAGTTCCCGTCTCCGCTAGCTATTTTCCTGCCATTCCCCGCGTGAGTCCCAACCGAAAAATCTTTTCCTTTGGCTAGTGACGCTTCCGGAGTTCCTCATTTACTTACTTACATTCCATTGTGCGGTCGAAAAGAGCAATTTAGCAGAAGACAAAGGTCGGAGTGTAAATTTTCCGTGGGTTCCTTGATTTCAATAGTTACAGTGTGCTGTCGTAGGAAAAAAAAACAAACTTCTATTAAACGAAGAGATCCCAACGATTTCAAGACATAGTCAAGCTAACGTGTTAAGACGGATGGCAGATACTACGCGCAGCGGAAGTGGATGATAGCAAGAGGATCAACAAAGCAGAAGTGAAATAAATAAGTTGGACAATAACAGGTAACTTGTTTGGAACCATATAATACTATTGTTGCGCTCATGAAATATCCTTAGCCATAAATGTAGTTTGTTTGAACTTCGTAACTTTTACTAGCGAATGGGTAGTTGTGCGGTGAAGGCTCGTACTTTTTTTTGTTTTTGTGTGTAATTCAACTCAAGTCACAGAGAGAAGACTGCCCGCCTAGGTTTCATTGTATTCAGGCTGGTTCTAAGCCAAAACAATGATTTTGCGTATAGAGTTACGTCTAACCTTTAGTTTAAGTAATCGGTACTGATGATAATGGTTTCAGTTTTAATGCATATTGTTAATTATTATTGCCAAAATTTGTTGATTGGCTCACTGAAAAAGGTACGTTTTGCTCACTGAAGAATTAACGTTGCAGCTTAGAACGTAAAGGTTTTCCCCTGACTAAAAGCTTCTATGAAAAGCACATCTGCAGTGAGCTTATGAGAGCTCATTGAGCCTTGTGTATGGTGCAAACAGTATGATAAGGTAATGGTAGTTGCGCAGAAAATCTAAAATAAAAAAATTGATATATATAAACTTCTGTTTTCGACTGTCGTTACGCAAGTAGTTGATATTGCGTTTTGCCTATTGGAAACTCCGCTGGAGACACTGAGAGCGGGCATGGTTGAGAAAATCTGTAGTTCAGTGTAGGAGGATCGAGTATCATATAAACGACCTTCATGTTTAAAAGCTTTCCGTCTCTGACAAAGTTATTTCATACACCTATCCGTATTTGGCTAAGTAATACGTAACTATATACGTACTAGCTGCACTTTTGTCTATGACAATTCGTTGTTAAGATAAGGAAAGGGATCGGAAACCAACAACACAAATTACGATCATTTACGCATCAGTAATTAAATGATCTAGGACAAATGTTAAAAAATATTAGATACATATAACTAATTTTCCCCATTGTCAGCAACAAATCCAGTTGTTATTGTTTGATGTATCTGCGCGTTGAGAGCACCAACTGGTCGTGTCTCAGCTGTCCGAAATGGCATTATCTTTTCTAACCGCCAAAACAGGTTTCAAACTCAATCCCAAAGACAGATCTTAATTCTGGTTTTGTTGTTTCGTCGATCGTGCTGAGTTTTTTTTTTTTTTTTTCTTGTATTTAGAAAAAAATCTTGAGCTTTTCAAAGACCATGGTGAGCTAGATTGGGTGTATTCCGGCATTGAGGCATCGAGTTCTGCTACAAAAAACGACTTGAGTTATCGTGGTGAGGCACCCACTACTTATTTCCTAGCAGGGCAGCTTTATGAACAGCGGTACGTAATCGTCTTAAAAGTCATTGATAATAGTTGCTAATGACAAAAGAAGTAATACTTGCTTGACACGAATTCATACTGCATAACTCTGCGAAAGGAGCGGTAAGGAAATAGGTGGTCTTTTCACCTGGATCTTGTAATTTACGCCCTTGTATTTGAGATGTTCCGACAATTTTTTCTATATATAATGTAGCTCTCGAAAAATTAAATTTTTTTTGCAATAGTAGTTGACCTAGGCGTAATTGCTCGAAATTCAGGTAACCTTTCTAGACCTAATTGTTATCTAAGCTTCGTGAAAGAGATTCGACAGCACCTGCTTTAGCTGTTTACCTGTTCGTATTCCATTCCAGTATTTAGACATTCAAATTTTCCCGTAATCGCCGTTAATTCTATTATTATATTTAGCTAGACAGTAGCTTAACATTTCGAGCCAAACGTCTGATACTGCCTTTATACATTCCACCAGACAACTGGCTCCCGCCGCGAAACGACGCGCGCTCACTGTCGGATTCGAACCCAGACCACCACGTGTACCTCAAATTTAGCATGAACACACGTTATTTACTACGCTGTTGCCAAGATCATCTATTCAGCAGCAACCTTCTACTCACCCGTTAGATATTACACATCGTTGAGCACAAGCTTTATCGAAAACAATGAGTTTATCTAGATATGCTTATTTTACGTGTTAGGCCATATATCAAAATTGCACCTGCCATTATGAACAGTCGACCCATAGTCAAGAGACGCTCAACCGTAGTATCTAACTCCAGGCAACTATTTTATACAGGTCCATTCCAACAAGCAAATTTCATAGGTCCTACTCATTAACTATTCATAAAGCAAGTCGTATTTTACGTTGCTTCCGAGCGTGTTATGTTCATTGAACTTTCGCTAAAACTTTTTTCTAGCTGGGCTGTGGGCGTGAGCTAGCCGCTAGTGAACTTCTAAAATGACATGTTATTTATCAGAAGGTAAAAGCTCTGAACTAATAGTTCAAAATTTCATTACCATTATACACGCTCTGTTTGGCGTGTACTCGACACAAACTCCGTTCCGCAGGTAGCGCCGAATGAATTCATTCTATGACTGGCTTGTTTTGGTGCTAAACTCTGGGGTTCTCACAAACAGATAAAAAAGGAGCCAGGATATAGTGATATCGACAGCCTATATCAATGACCATTACTGTCATAAATGAGCACTGATTGATAAAAATGCCCGATTGGATGCAAAAAAAAAAAAAGAAAAGCCGTTGCGGATAGTATCTTCAAACGGCGAGTACAGATTGGAGCATTGGTGTTTTATGAAACTTTCATTAGTGCAAAATTGCCTTCGATTCTATTTGACGGCCGAAGGTATGTCTACCTACAATTACGGACGAAGACGGTTTTTTTAATTCAAATTTAGAACATTATGGTTACTTTTTTTTTGGAAAAAATAGACAAGCCACTAAAATTATTTACTTATTATCCTGTTTTCACAGGAGTACCTCGAAAAATTCCGAGAAGCAATGGCGCTAATGCAATATTCTAGTGATTGACGGATCTTCAACTTTTCGAACAATCGTATTACCTTTGACTTTAGTTTTGACCTGTCTCTATGCCCGCTATCACGATAAACTAAGAAAGTTACGATAGTTGTTCTTTTTTAGTGCGGACAATTTGACGAGATCGATTGGATCGAACGGCTGAGATCTGTGCTCTGCCCATATGGACATGTCAATCATCAGTAGCGTGAATGTTTACCTTCCCCATCGACAATTATCTGAAAAAGATTTAAAATTGAAGATCTGCTAATTTCTAACTTATTATTCTAATAACTCTTGTTTTTCCGAATACTTCAATATGTTTCCGTAACGACAAAATTGTTTGATTTGCCCTGTATCGTGAATACTCCATCCGCTGCCAATGTAAGTGATCTCTACTTGGGGGATTGTAAGAGGTACGTATCTTGTATTTCGTTACAAAGACCAATAGCATGGCCGCGCTGATAATTATTTTACCCGGACACGTATCCCTAGACGGACGAACGTCTTTTGTTTTCCGTCGGTATTGACGCGTTCTAGGTAGTGAAGAATCACAATTTCTAATTCGTGTATTTAGCAGTTTTTATTAATGCCTAAAAACAATCCAACGGCTGATTTCCGGAAACAAATCGTGTTTTATATATATCTCAGAATGTTGAGGCCTTTGTTTGTTTTCGTTCTTCATTTTGTTAAAAACCTGTTTTTTCCTTTTTCGGCATGTTGTTATCGTTTTGTCCGTTTAGTTCTAGCTTTAAGACGAATGCACCGTTGCTCAAAACGCTCGGTGTTTTATAAGATGAAACCAATAAAAGATTATAAAAACGATTCTAAAAATAGTTGAGAAAAATAAAAACATGGGAAAAAAGTTGTAAAAAATTAAATTTTTATTAATTAGAAAATTATTGAGCGCAAAGTAATAATTAAACCATTATAAACCTAACAAATAATACTAATAGTAAGTTAAGGATGAGCATACAAGATTCAAGCCGTATTCGATTTCTTGTACCCACTGAAAACGATCAAAGGGAAAACGCAAGCAATAACCACTAGTACTTTCTGACAAACCTTCATCTGTCCTAGTGATACGACTAACTACGGTATATATACATATATATACTAATTCAAGGATTTTGGATATCTTTCATGGGTGGGCTTACTCGGAAGGACAACACGCTATGCTGAAAATGACATGCCTGGAGAAGGCCAAACTCAGCTAAAGAAAAAAAAATAAGTCTAGCTTGGCTGAATTTCAATACCACTGGGCCGAAGGGTGACAGCAGCTCATTCCGATAATATTTCGTTAACCACGATGTCCTTCTCATTTCTATTAAATCATTTTTTTTCACACGCTTAACTCATCAGAATCAATATTTCTTTGTTTAAGACACAGTTTTGAGAAGATGTGCTTCTGTAACAACTTTAAGCTTGGCATTTCTCCTTTATGGATAAGTTAATAAGGAAGTCCCGCGTGAGCAACCAACGTTCGTGCTAAAAACCGATTGCCGAAGAAAAGACTATTCATTAGGCGAAGCTGCAATAATTGCCTTCTTGCTAAACCCTTTTTTATTTGTATGTCTAAAACAAATTCTTCTTTTTGGAAATTGCTTACAAAACATCCAGTATCTCTTGAATCAAATTGCGACTATAAGTAGTCCTGCTGACGCAAGTAAAATTGAATTGGTCCTTCGCAGGCCTTCCCTAGAAATTTTCTCACGCGCTACACCGTAATAAAAGTTGATGGTATGTATCGCTCATTTTAGTGACTTTTCTCAGTTCCTATTTTTTCCGTCTGTTAATTTCAGTTCTTCGTCTCTAGAAAATATACCACACTATATATTTGTTATTCATCTAAAAAAAAAAAAAAAGAAAAACATTTACCAGCTGAATATGAGGCACAAAGGGCCCCAGGGGCTCGGCGGTGTATAGGAAGACGGACGGAGGATTCTTAAACAATCGGACTACAGATAATAACTGGTGCTCAACACAACGGCTCAGAATTGATGAGGTTGTAGCCGCTCCTAGGCTCCACGGCTGGCTAAAGCCTTCACTTGATCGACAACGAGGTCTGAAAAGAGGCAGAAAGAAACCAAGTCTAGGAATAAATGGATAAAATGGCAAAGAACCTGTGATTTCACATGGTTCGTCGACTGTTTCCAACCAAAAAAAAAGATAATGAACGGCGGAACTAGGGTAAATCTGGAAGAAGTTTTTTTCCTGTCCACTCTCCATCTCCCACTTTGCCTTTCGTAAACATAGCCGAGTGGGCTGTTGAGCTGTTCGGGATAGACAACAAGGTTCGACAGTGGCTTTATAGCAACAAACTATAGTGACATATGGTAGCGTGTGTACAACGTAACAACCTCTACAATGCGCCTACTAAGTTATCTACTATTGCAGAAATACAAATCAGCATACATGTTGCCCTATGTCCGTTATAGCTCACTACAGCATTAGTTGATGTACTGGCTTGTTTAGGGTTAGCTATCTAATTCTCGTTTGATTTGTAATTTTTTTTAATTGTTCTAAGTTGATAGTCAACTTGTTCATTACTATGATCTTACTGCCCATCGCCACGCCCCAGAACATAGCTCAACTGTACCTTTTTAAGCGTGCAAATACTCGAACTTTTAGCGCCCCTCGCGTTGAATGATTGCTGTGCGTAACGAACGTGGAGCCGGGTAATATTGTAGCAAAAAAAACTCCAATTTTGCTAAGTAACCCCTCTCTTTTCAAGCTGAACGAGCATGCAGGCCTTTTCTCCAGAGGAAAGCTCTCCTTTAGTGCCCGTTCGGCCCTATGCCTCATTCAATTCACCATCTCGGCCATGCGTCTTACGTCGGGTGGTCCACGTTCGCGAGCGTACTATAAACGGCCTGACAATCGGAAAAAACCAACGTCCGCTTTTGATTCAGGTCGATTTTCGAGCACTTCCAGCCGTCCTCGTTGCGGTCGTACTGTTGGTCCCTATTCAATCAGCAGCGCCTTTTCCTATCTATAGCGATTATCCTTCGTTCTTTTCAATGTTAGCTTTTTTGCTCACTTCGCCCAGAGGGGAGAATGGATGAAAGGAGATAGAGAACAAGGGCAAACGGCATAAGGCACCATGAGCGCAGTTCTGCTCTTCAGCCAGGTCTGGCAAATAAGCATAATTGCTTTAGATGTTGCATAAGTATATAATTTGTCAATCTAAATTAGTTTAGCGGGCAACAGGTGACAAAAAAAATCAAACTAGATTTGTTGGCATTTTCCGAGGGAGTTACTCGGCTGAACCTTATATTTGCGATACTAGCTTTAAGAGGAGGCTCGAGCTTGTGACTAGCCTATATATAGCAGACGCAATCGCATGATTCCATTTGATACAGAGCCTAGAAAAGTGGTGCGTGCTGTCAAAGAAAACTAAGCAAGTTAGTCGATCAACAGGCGATCTTTTGAACCGTTTTGTTTCTCCATGGACTGATTTAAAGGAGTTTTGATGTGGAGTGTTATTTAAATAACTATTATTTCAAGGGCTTCATCTACGTACATATAGATCTATCTTACTACGAATAAGACCGTTGGTATTATATGACCATCAGCATCAGCTACGTTTACGTCATAGTAATGTTATTGGCAAGTGATCAATTATCAATGGCAGACGAAGTCCTTTTTAAAGCTATATGGACACATCAATGATAAGACCTGATATCTGTGGTCGCCGTTTGAGGAGCCTTCGTCCGTTTCAGCAAATCGACCTTCGACATTTATCAGTAATACGGTTCGACGTGTGAACTTGGTCATCTTTTGCCGATAACAGATAATAAGTAGCTGAGTAACCTAGATCATCTGCTTCGTTTGCATAAGTCCGCAAAATTTGAAGTACATGTGCTAATACTTTTTGAAGGCCGAAGGCAAATTATTCGCATAGGCAAGAATATTGTATGTTCAGCAAATCCCCATTTGATTATCATTCTACCGACACATGCCCCTCCCTTTTCCCGAGATGCAGCTGTTGATTCACAATTTTAAAGGGATTAGTATATCTGGTATTTAGCAAAGCTAACTTACACTTAACGTTAATCGTCAACAGCTGTCTTTCAAAGCGCCGAATAGGCAGAGTTTGAACCCGAACGATTTGGGTACAAAATCCTTCGTCGTTCAATTGCGATCAGTGGCAATCTCTTAATTATTGTTGTGACTTGTGTTCCTTCGCAACTAATAACTTTTTATACACACTACAGAATGTGTCGTTAGCGATACTCCGAAACGATTTTGTATAGTGATCAAATTTGGGGCATTTTTAGAGCAAACATAGATCAATTTTGTCTTCTGTGCACATTTCAAGAATCGTCCGTTCGGCCAACAAATTTTCATTGCTTCTAAATAAGTGATGATAAGGACTCAGATCTAGTGAAGGCAAAGGAGTGGCGCGACAAAAAATCCTCTGGTCCCTGTAGCTCTGTGGAGGTTAGAGTTGACATAAAGGAAAATTTCCTTGATCGGGTTGTTCGCTTGATGTCAGCTGGTCAGTCGGAAGTCTCTATTTACGCGAATTTGTTAGCTCATTGTATAATTGTTGTTGCTCGCGCGGTTTAAGGGGGCTTATATTCCTACCTAAATTGTGCGGTGCGTCATTCCCAACTGATCATCGGGTCCTCGTTGACTTTAAGCGAGGCCTCATCCAGCTTCGTCTGAAATTTATTCGTCACAATTATGCTACAGTAATTAACGAACAGCATTATAGTCGCAACTAGGACGACGTATGTCAAGCAAGATCGTCGATCTTGTCTTGAAAGGAAACCGACGTGCTAAAGGTATTACCTACCCATCGACTCCAATCAAGCACCCCCTGTACATTGTATGCTTTTCTATCTCGACTCTGATGAAACACATTTTTCATTCAACTTGTGCTCGTAGATCGTATCTGACGCTCTATTTACCTAGTTGAAGGGCCAGAGTCTCGTTTATTCACTGTGAATCTACTATCTTTGCCAACTGTTCTTATAGTAAAGCTCGCTCACAATAGTTATAGTTCTATATATCGAACTAATATAGCTACGTTATAAATCAGCGACTATTATTTACTCGTCGGGCCAGCTCAGTATTTGGCCGTCATTAACGTAGGCCGCTGTTTAAATGGTGCAAAGGAACTTTGAAATGTTGATTATTTGGCACGTACGAAACGATGATAATAGGCTGATCAAGCAAAGAAAAAAAACTTACTAACGGTACATGATATTTAACTTTTGCAAATCGAAAAGAGACGCAACAAATACAATCTGTCATAATATTCCGAATCTAACGTTGTTCTAAGTTGAATCTCCATGTCCTGACATCTGGATTTCTGCATCGTGGTCTAGGAATACACGATCGAAAATTTACAAGGTGCAAATTGAAAGCCCTCGTTATTATCGAATTTTGCAACGGACTGGAGTGCTTTGTCAGGAACGTGTTGTTACTCCGTTTCAGGGCTTGCTCGAGAATCGACTAAAATCGGTCTTTAAATATATTCCCAGACACCGTTTAAATTACGACTAGGGTCTATTGACATTGAAAGATGCTGACGGCACACTCAATTGCATACGCCTACGCGTATTCGTAGACATATATTCATCCGCCAATAGAAATGTCTTGTAAGACTTCTATTTGACGCAGTCGGCAACGTAACACTTCATATGGTAAGTCTGATAGCCAGAATGACGCATACATTTGAATGACATATCAATTATAGTCATAAACATATGAATAGTTTGCAAAAAGAAAAAAAAAAAACATTTTCACTTCCACTAACGTATTCGGGCGTTTCAAAGTCCGCTACTCACATAGTAGTCCAATTCGTGACGCCCTGCAGCCTTAAACAGGACAAAAAATGAATTCAGGCTTTAAGGTAGAGTTCCGAAACTACCGACTGCGACCTTTCCCTGAAATCGAATAAAAAAAAATTCGACACATCAATGCTCAAGTTCTATCCGGTCATTTGAAGAAACATTGAAGGTGTTGCCTAATTGAGGTGGGCAACGAGGGTGGGCAAATGACTCGGGAGATTTGTAAGCTGAGACGACGTAAGCCTAAGTAACCGTTTGATATGGGTGCATAATGCTTCCAGTTGGTCTTCTTAGTGACAACTTCACGCTTTTATTCCTTTGTTTATTTATCCCTTGAGATTATGAAGATTGTGCTTCATAAAGCACAATTATACGAACAACGATCCCGACAAGGTTTACAAATCATAGTCAACACATGCGAAAACAACGGCGTGAGGTTCTTGGTCTTCCATGGTATAAGTAGCGAGATTATTTTAAGACCATTGAAATCATAATGTTTCTAACGTTCGAGATATAAACAGGTCAAGCACACGTAATACGCCTTTAAAGGAGTAAGGAATATTTTCAAAATGAATCCTTCGAGTTCGAAGCGCGAACAGCGGTGTCGCTGTTCAGCATTGCTATAGACGGCTGGCTCCCAGAGTATAACACAAAGTGTGTCTACGCCCAGTTTCGAAGCTAGATCGGCTTGTGTTTATGTTCCTAGAAATATTTCCTAGTGTTTCAAGTTGTACGTCCGCTACCGATTTTAGGCCGTGCCAACAGTCTTTTTAGTAACATAACTATCTATCTCCTACTTCATTAACCTCATCAACTTTTTGACACTACTTTTCGTTTTAAAAATTATGTATATGAGTCTAATAAGTATCGCTTTCGGAACCGATATTCGATCCTCACCCGCTTTTTGGAAACAGCTTAACTATGACTTATTTAATATGGCAAAATACTAGAATGGAGTGCATCTTTTACTACTTACTAGTTATAACTTATTTACGTTTCCTTCTAATATGCTTGGGTTACGAAGTGAATAAAAACTATTATACGGGTCTAGACGGGAACTTTACGGGCACAAACGTAATAGCATACTGGTATTTTTTACGTTTTTTTTTTTTATTTTAATGAAATTTTGATGATTGTGGTAAGTAACATTCAGATTCAAATTGCATTTTCTAGAGAAAAAAAAATGGCACCGTTCACGAAGGAGTCGTTGCTTCTGTTTGTAGTGCTTGGCGTGGCTTTTGTATCCCTAGGACGGACAGCTCAGAGTAGTCCAGATCAGCAGAACCTCACAAGAGAAAAGAAGTACCGCCGTAAGTTTTTCTCATCTAGACAAGTCATTTCTTCCCGAAAACTTTAGCAGTGTGTCTTCTTCATGACAGCATTTAATTTTGAAATTTTTATTAGCCCGCAAATTTCGTCTCATGGGCATTTCAGTTACAATGGGCAAGGATCTTTCAGGGGCAGATGCTCGTTGCAGCTTGTCGATCCCACTCTAAATGCTGAACTGTAAAGCTAAGTTAAGTGGGTTTAGGCAAACTTCTGCTCGACTGAAACTTTCTCAAATTATGGGTTTTTACAGACCCATGTGATGCGCTTAGCTGTGGAGCAGGCACGGAATGTGTGGTGAAATCTGACCGATCGGCGGTATGTGAATGCGTCAGGGAATGTCGCGCGGAAACTGATGACCGCAAAAAGGTAGAGACAAGAACCGTTACGATATATTAGAGCGTCCATTATGAATGCTTATTTATGAAAGTAACATGAAAGCAAGATAGCATTGTTGCCAATGCATATCGTGCATCGTTTTCAAACAGTTACTACCTAATGAGCTTAACCCCTATTTAAAAAAATAGATTGACTAGCTCAGGAAGTATCCTATTGCATTCAGTTACATTACGTTTTAGTAAATTTTAGGACTACGCAAGTGGTGTACCCTCAGAAAGTCGTCAACTGATTCCTATACCTAAAAAGATGAAAACCGCAATAAAATCGTTATGGTTACTAACAAATATCGCTTTATACTCACACGAAAGAAAACTTACCGGGAAATGTACACGTTAAGCACGCCTCGACGACTGGGTGTGCTTCGATAGCTCCTCAGATCCAGTTAGTACTGCAATGTGTGCTGACTTTTTCGTATACAACCTTGTACTTTGCCGAGAGTGCATTTCTTTGTGCCCTGCGGTTTTTTTTTTACCTTTCTTTGTTTTTATATCGTTGGTTCGATTTCATTATCAAGACTATTTGCATTTTCTCTAACAAAAAGGTACATTTTTATTCCGGTTCTTTGTGTGAATACATTATGCTAGAGAGTCATTTGTCCTTTAGGCCTGCAGGCGTATTTTTATTCTGCGCTGTTCGTGGTAAAATTTTGCAACGAAGTTGAAGGCCCTGAGACTCAGTAAAGCGTGTAGTTCTCTGCGACCATCTTTGTTTCATGCTGTCGATCCTTCGCTTCTGTTCGAACAGGTCTGCAGTAACTACAACGTGACATTTGACAGTCTCTGTCACCTGCACCAGATGTCCTGTTTTTGTCGACAGGAAGCAGAGGGCTGCTTGAACGAGACCTATGAGCATCTTCATGTAGATTACTTCGGTAGCTGTCGAGAAATCGGAAAGTGCTCCGATAGCGAAATGGCCGACTTCCCAAGGTAGGATTTTTTCTTCTTCTAAGTTTCTTGCTCACTCTTGTCCGCTTAGGACTTAGTTATTATTTTCAAATGCCTATAGCAATAGGGAATACAGATTGCGAAATGGTGGTGATAAAGTGCTGGTCCTAATTGGCACTGGTGAAATACCAAATTTACTTTTGGGCCCCGCCAAGACAGCCGTCGATTGAAAGCAGGATACAGTAACTATTCCAGAAAATGGTGTATCTTTAAATTAATTATTTCAGTGTGTATCAAGCGTTTGTTCGGCACACGAAGCCTGTAGACATACGAACAAAACACGTACAAAATGAATAGAACACCAATAAAGAATTGTTAAGTATATGAGATTAAACGAATTTAGGTTTACTAATGAAACGCTACATACAGACGATCCACAGATATTTTTTCCTTCCCATTTTTTTCCCGCGCTCAATGCTCCAAGAGTAAATGACAGTAACCCAACTGAAAGTGTTCTATCACTTTAAGATTCATAATCTATTGGACTGCCGAAAAGTGCGTCCATAAGTCAGGTCAGGCTGTGTCGCAGGCACAGCTAACTTGAGAAACACGGTTTGTTTCAACTGATTGGGCAGTTTATTCTAAATAATTTTAGACAATATGGCGGGCGGGCTGGCTAACAGGTTACATACGCTCAATTGATCAACTAATCGATGCTATATTGAGACAGGTATAGCATACCCGTACCATGATACTCATTGCAGTGACAATAGAACGGTGCAAATTTCACCGTAGAGCACGGTAGCATTTGCATGGTCTGGTTGACCACGAAGCCCGCTTCGTGATATAATGGCTCGACAACCTATATTAACAAATCCGATTTACCGGAACCATTCAGAACGTAATTTTGCCAGGGAACATCACTACTTTCCTCTACCAAATCCATTTCTTATCGTTATATTCCTTGTCACAGTGTTCCCTCGGTAAAAACACGAAATTTGTATGAAAAAGTGTATCGGTTACATACACACAGTAACTGCTATAAATGGCCAATGCGCACTTAGTCGTGTTGAAGGGCATGCTTTCCGAGTCTCAATTTTATTTCAATGTATTTCCATTGTTACTATAAATTTCCAGAAGACGCTGTTCTATGCGACACACTTCGACGCCACGGTCGATGTTGCAACTGGAGCATTGCATTCGTAGCTTTTTTGAAGCCTCTGGTGCTATTATTGGGGCAGTCGCATAGTAGACGACGGTGTGCTGCTAGCATCGGTGATTGCTTATAGTCTCCGTCGTAAAGCAGCGCCATTTTACAATGTATCAATCCCTCTGTGGCACGCTCGTATAGCCGGTGTTCACTTACTCTGGAGAACGTGTCTACGCTTACAATCCATCTTTCCCATTCTACGATCCCTTCGTTCTCTATACCAAGAGACGACATCCACATGAAATTGTGACCATCGTTGAAATACGAAGCAAAAAAGCTAAAGGATCATGAGCCGGAAAAGAGATCGTGTCATCGTCATAATAGTACTAACCAGCAAAGCGTGTCTGACAAGGTTGGTTACGTACTGAGAGCGAAAACGCGGTAGCCCTAGCGGTGCTGGTCCGTTCAGGGGCATCGTACTCGTGGCTTTTTGCTTCTGGACAGAAGGCGCGTGTTCAGGAATGGTCACAGTGGATGAGCAAGATAGTGGCAGAATTTAGAGACTGCAAGCTCCGCAAGGCAGATCCAAGACAACAGAGAGGAAATTTGCGGCTTCCGTTTTTAGATATGAGTCGAGCGCTTTTTTGGACGTAGCAGGGGCGAACATGTTTCGCTACTGTTGCTGCTACTCAGTTTCGAAGCGTTAGTCTCTTTAATGGTATCCTCGAAGCGCAGTTCTGGGCTGCGAGACGCTATTCTGTGTTGGTTAAATGACTGATTCAAGCATCTGACGGCTGTTGATTCCTTGGGTGGCTGTTGGTCCCACCATAGCCATTTCGCCAATGCTGTTGATTTCACGAAAGCTGTCAATGGCAAAAAATAAAAACGGGTCATGCCATACTTTCTCCTGATCACCCCCTCCCCGCTCTCTAGTACCACTAGCTTTCGGGTCTTTGCATGCATACGTACTTATAGGAATGTCCCCGCGTCGAGCTGCTTCAATTCAATACTCTCACACAGGGCCTCACATAGAGTTTACGAAACCTAAGCAATGACGCACGCAAGATAAAACTCTACATGGTCTGTTATACAATTGCATGCTCTGCTGGGCACTTTACATGTTGTCAAGGCGATCAATGCAGTCGGCATTCGCTCGGCTGAGGTTCTTTTCGTCTCTGATTGGTTCCATCGCTGGCTAAAACACACGCATTCAGCACAAAAGCGGTAGAAATGACGTTCCCGTCATGGCACCCGCCATAGAGTATTCTGCGTAGCAGAGCTTTCAGTGTCTTGATTCTACGGTCCGACACCACGAAAACGGCAGTGAAAGTACGATCGCGATCGCTTGTTCCTTCAACCGCCCACGCATTTCCCCGTTTTGACATTATCATTTCTCGTAATAGAAGTTGTATTACGGATCCACGCCCAACTCAGTATCTCCCTGTCTACTTCTGCTCTTCTTTCGTTCATTTACTTCGGCTCTACTTCAACACGATTACTGGTAATTAAAGCCATATCATGGCCGTCGTAATGGCTAGGCCGTGGGTGTAGTTCCCGAAGCCTTGTTACTGTTTCAGACACAAAATCCTAAACCCGGGTGTCAGGTCCAAACGTCTAGCACTGAAACTATTTTAATGGCTGCATTGCTTTTTGCCGCACTTTGGTTGAAAAAAATGAGGCGTTGATTATGTGTGATATCAATAAGAGCGAACTTTTGTCTAGCAGACTATAATATCGTATATTGAGTAAGTGTTTTCTCCCTTCACTTATATATATTCGGATTATCGGAGCAACGTTTACAGTCGTCTAGGGTTGTTGTAAAGAATTGAAAAAACAGGTACCGGATATTGCCTGCTATGGGAATTGTCGTGCTACGAACTTGTCCCTTTTATGAACACAGATCGGTTATGCGGTTGATAGTAACACAATTCGACTTGTGGGTCACATGGCGGGAACGAATGTGCTCAGGAAGGAGCGCTATAATACCTGCAACGACTCGTTTTGAGGAACTTTATGTTCATACAGAGTTACACCCTCAGAGTTAGCGGAAATATGATATAATAATAATAATAATAATAATAATAACCTTGCATATAATGTAGAACATTTGCAATGGGATGACCGTGCGTGAGAAGATTTAACCTAAAAAGAAACCGAGTCTAATCACATTTGTAAGATTTCAACAAATGCTTGACTTACGACACAAAGTATAGAAGCGTTAACTTCCTGTTTTGTAATGTCCTATTTTTTCAACTTTCAAAAACTGGTCAAAATCTGTAGGGAAAATATCGTGGGAGTATTATTCAGCAATAGCTTGCCTCTCAGAACATGTACATTTTATAGAACGCTCATGCGAACCCATTTAAAATTGATATCATAACGATAGTACATAATGGTAAATGTTACATTCAAGCTGCAAAGTGCGTACTTTACTGTGAGATATAAATGACTTTTAAGATAGCTTGTTACAGGTTAATCATCATAACTTACCCTAAAGTATCATCACTTTGGTTAACATTACCCTTATACTAGACAGACGATTCGTACCGTGCTGGGAGCCAGTCGTCTCATGCAATGGCCAACACTGATATGGGACGTAAAGGGTGCAAAAAAGTTACGCGAACGTCTTACCGTGAAAATATATATATATATATATATCGATTTATCAATCAATCAACCTGTTGTCCTAGAAGATCTGTCTTCATTTGACCACATATAATTGCAAGCTCAACAAGTAGTAAAATCCCACGCAAAGTCCCGCGTGTTAGAATTTAGCCAAAGTAGGTTGGATTATACGTTAACGCAACGAATGTGGCTGCGCTCAAGTGACACGTGGGTAATTTAAAAATGTGACACATGGGAAAACGGCTATTTATTTGAACCGTACGATTAGTTAGCCTTGTGCTTTAGAATTCTTACATGTTACATTATGTGGCTACTAATGATTGGGGCCTAGAACTTCACATACGCATGTCTGAATGCAATTTTCTTAACAATTGGACAGTTGTTTTTACCCTTAGCTTTCTTTCAATAAATGCCTTTTTAATTTGTTTATTTCAAACGCCCCATACCGGTAGGATTAAGTTGAGTTGATTCTCGACTCCTCTATTCGTGTCTATCAATTTATAGGAGGTAGATCGCTATGTTTGAAAACGTTATGTGATTTTTATAGATCACTCTAGTTTTCTTGTTCCTGCAAATACGCTTGAAAGAAGCATTACATAATCTGGTCCTATATATGGCCGCACTCAATAAGTGTTGCACGTCTGCTAGCTAAAGTCATATTGTTATGATACAGAGAAGCTGATTTCTAAGATCGTTTCATTTTGCAGTGCTACATTATCCGCGGAAATTGGGTGAGGACAGTTGATTGAATTCTTGTAGGTTCCGACCCCGTGAAAACACGTACCACCTAAAAAAGCTTCAATACGTTCTCGAGTATGAAATCTCGTGCTAGTGAACATAAGCCTACCTTCGTAATTACCGCTGTCGAATTCTTGTGTGTTAGCGGTGCTGGGGAATGTGGTACGAACTAGATAGCAGTCTATTATTACATTGGGATACCGTATATATATTACGTTGGGATAATACTGATTGTTTTCAAGTTAAAATGGAAACAACAAAAATAATTACCCGCAAAATGTGCTCCGTTAAAGCCAGTGACCTCTTTGCCACTCTTCTATAGCCCCATCATTGTAACACTTTTGTAGCTTTTAGGCTCAATAACTAGAAAAAGTGCTCGTTGCATTGATACGCAGTGAAGTTCCGCAGAGACCGAGATAGGTGATAGTATGATGGTGTTAAATCTAAACAACGTTAAAATTCCATCCATCCAAACTCTCAGTTTCTGGCGGGTTACTAACGACGTTTGTGGTTTAGGGTAGTCGTGGTAGAAGACGACGTTTTTCTGGCCCATTAGTTTCGGTCGAGTTGTTTTAATGACTTGTAATCTTGCTTGTTACTGACGGTAAAAGGCCGAATTAATCGTTCTGCCAGGCGGCAGCAACTTATAATGCACGATCCTTTACCACTCCTAGCAAATACAGTCTGCTATTTCTTGTTAAGCATCCTCTTCTACCGTGTCAGTCGTAGTTTTGCCGTAAGCCTAATTTTTTTATTTGTACATTTCTGCTGTAAATAATCGATCGTTCGTTATCAGTTGAGCAAATTTATTTACCCTAATTTGTGTGGCATTAAAATAAACAGAGGTGTATCTTTTTGTAGCCAGCTTTCTTCAAATGATTTAAGACGGTCTAACGGTGGCTATTTAATCGTTTGGCAATTTCACGCCTGTTCAAGTATTGATCTCGCTTAACTCTCGTAATAGTTCGATTAAGTGTTTTTTTTTTCTAATTGGTCGATCACTACGAGGAACATTTTCTCTATCGACATTTCCTAATCGAAAACCACAAAATCATCTTCGGGCCACTTTTCTCCCATAACGCATATCGACCAAAAACAGCAGAATTTTTTGATAGGGGGTGGGCGCGATTTGTGTATGTATCGTAATAAAACTGTGGAACAGAGGACATTTTTAGAGAAGTTTTACACATGCTCAAAGCGCTCTGTCTCAACTGTACAACAGCTTTAGTACTTTTAAATTTCAGCTTCAAAGTGGCCAACGCCGACTCGACACAACTCACTATTTAGGATAGGTGACTGACTTTAAGGTTAGAAGAACGGTCAATATTACACTATGGCTATAGCATGTAGAAAGGCGCTTCACCTGCGCACACTGGCTAGGCCAAAGACGCACAAACATTTTTAACGTTTCCACATAGGCGTATGAGTGTGTTGTTCTACATGTGCATGTTGGTAGAGTATGTAAAATGGTGGAACCAGCAATGCTTAAAACAACTTTGTTTTTGCCTACGCCTCGTATTAACACTTAGACGCATGCGCGAGTGGCTGTTTAACATCATGAAGGATCTCGCGCGTCGTAAGGCGCTCGATGCTGAATACGCGAAACTCGAAAAGGAATCCGAGCAAGGCCAGGGAAGGCAATGGGTGAACGCTGTTATCTGGAAATTCTGCGATCTTGATGTTGAGCCAGAGAATAGGTGGGCAATATTTTACAGAGATGCTAAGTGTGTGAGTGTCTGATTTTCATTGAGAAAAACAAGCGGACAATGAACCCTAAAAATATAGACGAGTTATTGAGCTTTTAAATCTATCTTACAAATCAGCTGAATCCATACATTATTGCTACTATGTTAGCAGTTAGTGTTGCTATGGCTCGGTTTCATATAGCCATGCACAAATCTAACGTGTTAATCTCTCGTACTTCACGTTTTAAGGGTGGTTTCTCGACACGAGTTGTACCCCCTGAAAGCACCCCTTCTTGCCATGGAACACTGTATCGCACCATTCCTTGATTCCTGCGACACCGACGAAGACCATCAGGTAGTAAACAAGTTTAGGTATGATTAGTCGAGATGATAAAGAATACTTGATCTTTCAGCATACTTATGGGGGCAACTAATAAAAGGCGACAAATCCTAAGTCAAAAATACCATGTTTATTGGCAGTCTAATAAGCCGACGTCCCGTACCACGTACGGTAACAGAAAGAAGGCGGAAAATGATCAATGGAAAATTAAACTTGTCTAATAAACTAGCCGTATATAGATCGCACTAGCGTACATAAAAGGGGCAAAGCAGAACTAGGAAATTGCATTCCGGAGCACGAGTACATATGCATTGTTTATACTATCAGAATGCATATACGCTTAACCTGCGATTACTAACATTAAAACTTTCAGGATGCCACGACACGTATACACTGTGAAAGTTGACATTCGTTATTTATTATTGGAGTCCTTACAGAGATACCTAGCTGTGGCTCATAAAAAAATATTGTTCTTGCTAAAGTAAGTAGTTGAATAATTAGGTTTTTGAATACGCCATAAATTTCAGGTGACGCTGAAGGAGTGGGGCACATGTCTTGGCCTGAAGATAGATGAGATTCAACACAAGTGTCACCGAATGCATCACGGCAAAACTTTCTAAATGAACCAGCGTACACACGCGCAAATGTGGTAAGAGCGAAGATTTACCAACGTCGTGACCACAATCATCCCTCGGACGCCTGCCATCCACACAATAAACACTGGCCTACATAAACAGCGTAAAGCTAGATATATTTTAATGTTAACAAATCAATCATTTGTGTTCCAGAATAAATCCACCTTACATGATAATTCCAATAATATCGGCTGAGCGAGGATGAAATCATATTCTATCAAGCCAAATTCAACAACCTGGAAACAAAACTTCTATCAATACTCCTCATCATCGATCATCACTGCCTTGGCATTTAGCTAGAAGTGATTCGCGGTAACGGTATTCATCTACTAGGCAATTGCGAGCCATCTTTGAAGTCAATGCCTTTTTTTCTACTTTAAAAATCTTCATTCAAGAAAATAATAGAAATCAATAATGCTAAGACAGCAGTCTCGGTCGTAGCCGTGATTGGGCATGAATGAACGTGTAATCTCGAAGCTTTTCTTGGGCTGCGTCGTATCTCATTCCCTGAATCTCAAAGTAGATGTTACAAGCATTGGATTAAGTTGACTATATATGGATGCTGCTACCATCGATTGGGTCGTATTTAAATTAAAGCTACTTCTGCTTACTTCAGCATCACCTGTCTTTATTTACAAGAAAAAAATAGTCGAAGTGGTGTGCAAAAGTTACTCTCAGTACTTTTACTATTGCCGACAGATGCTACCGGCATATTATGTTCCGCACGCCACACAGTTAGGTGAAGTTAGATACGCTCGGAAATACCGTAAGAGGGAATGAGGACAACATAGACACTTTCTTTAATATTTAGGGCTGATAATAATCTCGAACTGCCATACATAAATTATAACTGGGTCCTAAACTACTTATACTATGACTGTCGATATTTTATCGCGTGGTGTTTGCTCTTACAACACAAGTCTGTAGAAGTCTTGAAATGGCCACTTTGTCCGCATCCCCTGGGATAAGGTCGACAAGAGCTGAAACGCCGTACACACATTAAAAGATGAGTCAAATAAATATATTCGAGCTTTTCGCACGCTAGAGCATCATGACGCTAGAGAATAGGACATATTAAAATACTAGATTTCAATTCTAATCTTATTAGCTCCTCCGCCAGCTTCCTTCGTTCTAACGGAATAGTCATATGACAGTACTTCGTTTCTGTGAAAACTCTGGATGATCAATTAACCCAATTCAAAAACGAATGACCTAATTCAATTTATTTAGTTAAAATTGAAGGTAATCCTAATTTTATTCTATGGCATGCCACTCTATCTCATAATGCCCCTCTCAGAGGAAACAGTTAACACATACATCAATGATGATCTTTTAGAGCAGCGCAGGAAATATGTTCTGCGGTAATCCAAATAAATAACTCCAGCATTTAAGTAAACCGAAACTATTCTGTAGTGAAATAAGATTATAAAAGTATTTTAGAAAAAAAAAAAAAAAAAAAAGTCAACATTCTACAGTAAATAGAGATTTAGACACGAGCCGAAAATTCTGTTTACTTCATTCTTATTGTCGTTATTTCGTTAATAATTTTTGTATACATATAAAAGTGCGAGAGTCCTCCTGGAAGGCTAGCAGCTGAATGGCAGGGAGTCTTGCCTGCATTATTTTGGGCCTTGTCCTCTAACTGGCCTAAATAGGTGCGAGGCAGGTGTAATTTAAATTCAAATAAATCCTCTGAAAAGATAAACATTTAGTTTCCTCGAGTCTAGAAACGGCCTTTAAGTTATATCATGCAAAGGGCTGTCGATAAGCTACCTCCACTACCTATAAACCTTCATTCAGATAGATTGTATAAAAACAATATGCAAAACTCAAGTCCACTTTGTCAGTTTTGCCCCTGTTATATTTACCAATTGGAGCATGCCTTGTGATTTTACTGCTAACAGAAGCGGAGTTAAGGACTGGCAAGTGCTCATCTTGCCAATTGTCAATTCACGTAAGCATGTGACCTCCTTGGAAGTTGTTCCTCTCCTAATGACGGTGTTGTTACATGTTGGCAACATCTACTGCAGTACTAATAGCAAAAAACATGGCTTAGCCGCTATTATGACCGAGAGTGCTTAACTTAATAATAACATTATTAATCTATTACAGACATAGGCCACTACGGCTGTGCAATTCAAAGATGTGAATGGCGTGTAAGTTTCGTAAAGTTCTAGATATACAGCACTTGAACCTGTTTTGCCAATACAAACTGGAAATATAAATTGTGCCTATGTACATGTAGTATCTTTTGCTGAGTTTAGCTATCTCACTGGCTAGCGATAGCCATGATGTCTTGAATGAGCAATACCCAATAGTTTGTAGAGTAAATCTTTATTACATCAAAGGCAAGATCGAAGCAGCCTAGTTTCAACGGTGGGTAGAGCTTTCGCTATCTCGATATTGGACGTATGTCAAAATAACTCGATAGAGTGAAGCCTCCGAGCGATTTTGAATACGCTGTTTATACACTAGCAGCAGCAGCAGCAGCAGCAACAGCAACAGCAACAGCAGCAACAACAACAACAACAGCAGCAACAACAACAACAACAACAACAGCAGCAGGACACGTTGCCATTTATTGCAACGACTATACGATACCGGCTCAATTCAGTTCGATAGTGTCAATTAGATATTTTGTGAGATGAGCCGTATATTTGATTAGTTTACCGTTTTCATAAATCAAGCTCATAGATTTATTTAGGTGTGGTCTCTCTTACACAAGTAAACCACTATGGTTTCCTTATGACGTTCTAAAAATATTCTCTATATATATATATATATATATATATGTGGTGACATTTTTTCGCCAACTAAAATTCTACCCGTTCACGATTGCATCCCAAATGTTTTTCTCTCCGACCGACCCGTTTCGAATGCAAAATGGTCGTTATCTCTTTCAGAGATACGTACGTCTTATTATGAATTCAAGCAATCTTTAATTAAAGCGACATCTTTATGCTGGGTTCGGCACAAAAGAATAAGACTGAAATCGATTTATGTTGGGCCTATTCCCAATACGTTATTCAATTACGTCAATACGTATATCAATTTAATGGTTTGCCGCGGCGTACCTATTGCTACGGGACTGTTAGCGGGTTTTTTTTTTTAAAATCACAAAGTGTTTCTTACGCAATTGATACGATTCATACCATCACTTTTATGTAACATATACCATAATTGTAGTATATAATTCTAAGGCCTTGCTCATATACGTATGTGTAATAGAGAAATATGATAAACTAATAGTTATAATTACTCTGACCTGTATTGCGCGAATTCAGTTGACGAACGTGGACTAGGTTAAGGTCCGCAACAACGGAACAGCTGAGAACAAATGAGGACATTTGAAGTCCCGATGCCAAAATGGCTCTAGCTACAATTACAAAATGGTCGACTAAATAGAAAAGGCCGAGGACGGTTTTGTTGTTCACTACGAGTGTATTGGGTGCCGCTGCATTTTTCCTGTATGCACAGACATATTCTGACAAAGTGACGAGGAAAAATCTAAAACTAGACCCTTTCCTCATTGAAAAGAAGGTCCAATTCGCGTGTAAAAATATATATATATATATACATCGTTCAGATACCATGTCAGGATAGTACAAGGTATGGTTGCGATGAAAGTCTTTCATATTCTCGTTTCTCCTTCACTTTTCATACTATGGCAAATTTCATTTAGTAGTCTACGAAACACGTTTCGGATAGATTCATTTGATAACGTCAATGGCTAACATTTACACAGGTCATGTGAGTAATTATAAAACTTTCTAGCAAAAGTTTCGAACACATAACTTTATACGAAACTGAATAATTTCAATGATAACTTTTTGCAGCAGTAAGATAACAGGCTCAGTTGAAATCACTTCATATAAAAGTGTGATCCCTACAAAGGATTCCCTTTCATTTCTGTACATGCTGACAAAAGATCCTACTCGGTAAGTATCGTAAAAAGCACCAAATCACAACTTAACTTATGTTAGCTAGTTATCTTTATTTGACATAATAATTTGAGTTTAATTTAACTTTCTACATACTAGATAGTTAAGCCTGCTTCAGAAAGTCGACGTCCTTTGTTTCTCAACGCTCCGCAGTTTGAAACGTTCGCTCTTATTTTACTGAGGCGCGCACAACTATCAACACAACTACAAAAGCGCCAAGACTGTCTGTATCGGATAATTCCAACATGTACCTTGTAACCTACCGTAAAATAAATCAACGATCAGAATTAAATAGGATGAAGTTGAAATGCTCAGTTGCACTATTATTAAAAACAAAACCCTTATTCCAAGTGGGGGGCCAATCTCTCATTATCCTCTCCTACATCTTTTGGTGGATTTTTGACTACCTCTTCGGTTCGTAGTTTTCTATTTATTAACAAACAGCTGAAAAGAAGGAACACATAGATTGTGACGTGTGAAAATGTCCGATGCTATTGTTTACAGTTATGTATCTCCTCAAACAATTATGTAAACAAACACTGTTTTCGCAATAATATAAAATTAAATTATGTGTTAGGCAGATTCTTGCATTCACAAAAATCTTGCAAGTTCCAGCCTTACTACTGTTCGCGTTTGAGAACGGGTCTATGTAATAGAAGGACTAGTCGGCCCACATCTTCCGAAAGTTAAGGGCGAGGTTTTGGATGAGATCTCTGTGACCTGCTTAGCCGCAGGGTTATGAGAGTGAGGTTCAGCCGTGATTTTTCGAATATACATACCCTGTTTTATTGTTCTAGCATTGGGACTTATTCGGCAGCGTACTAGTTCCCGGAGTCGTTCAGTTCTAGACGGGCCACCGTTACCATGCAAATCTGCAGTAAAGCTCTGACTTTCTTGCCAAAAATAAGTAACTATAGTCAACTGTTAGCGATCGTATGAGAGCATCGTGATGCAATCTACAATAACTTATCCCGCCTAGGTAGCAAAACTAATGAGCTAACGATGCTCTACCTACCAAGTCCTGTTTCAAACGTCTCCGACGGTCCTACTGATTTTGTGGACAATATGTCATATTTTGTTTATGAATCTATTAAAAAGTGTGCATTATAGCAATCAATTACATTATAGAGATAAACGAAATACAAATGAATACTAGGTTGACCGTAGATGATTTTCGTTTAATGAACAGTGCAAAGGATACCATCTAATTGACAGTTACAGGACAGAACATCTGACACAGGAGTACAACGCTGTTATGTTTCCTTAAGCATCAGTCAAAGTTGGCATCGTTGGCTTGATATAGTAAACGAGACTGAAGCATCAATTCTATTTGTAAGATAAGATATTCTATCTATCTATCTATCTATCTATCTATCTATCTATCTATCTATCTATCTATCTATCTATCTATCTATCTATCTATCTATCTATCTATATCTATCTATCTATCTATCTATCTATCTATCTATCTATCTATCTATCTATCTATCTATCTATCTATCTATCTATCTATCTATCTATCTATCT